CCTCCCTTCCCTCGCCTCGACTCGTCTTGACACAAAATGTCGGATTAACACTCAGCCCTTCCAAAGCCTCGGCGCCTGCCCGCCGGGCGTCACCCTTTTCAAGCGACGCTCCTCGAGTCCTTCGCCAGCCGAGCGAGAAAGTCAAACGGAAAAAAATGGCGAGAGAGAGAGAGAGAGAGAGAAAATAAAGAGACACGGGCGCGCGTCAAGAACAATGTCAGGCGATGACACTTTTATGATGACGCTCAAATTTTCACATTGTGACTCCGGTTTTATCACGCGGTCTGTGGTCTACCCTGCCAGAAAGGATGGACTCACAGACGATAAAAAGGGAACGGGATGCAAGGGGGAAAGGGGGGGCGCTCACACACGACGTAAATGCATGAGTAAAGCCTCGCGGTACGCCCGCCCGCCTCGGGTCCCTCGCCGAGTACACACGGGGATGAAAAATTCAGGCAACGACAGCTGTTAAAACACCACCGAGGCGTAATAGCGGCGTGTTTGGCGTAAGGGTTACCTTCACACCGCACGCGCGCACGCGAGCCGAGCCCCGCGGCGGTGTGCGTGTGCGAGAGAGAAAGAGAAGTCATCTCGTAAGAATCAACGACGTACTACTACCATAACGTTGCGATCGATTTGGTTTTCGAACGTGTCGCCGAGTCGTCACCGCGGTGTCGCACTCCTTCCCCTGGCTGGGGAGGGCCTCGCACCTCGGCCAGAGAGAGAGAGAGAGAGAGAGAGAGAGAGAGAGAGAGAGAGAGAGAGAGAGAGAGAGAGAGAGGAGAGGAGAGAGAGAGAGAGAGAGAGAGAGAGAGAGGGGAGGTAAATGATCGAAATTCAAACGGAAGGGCTGTGCGGAAATCCAAATGGGGAATCAAAGGGTGCGGAGCGAGCTAGAGAGAGAGAGAGAGAGTGAGTGGGAGGGACGGGGACATTTTATTCGGCGATAGTTTAATTGATGCACCGAACGCAATTCGCGACCCTTCGCCTGTCTGTGCTTCCGTCTGTCTGTGTGCCTGTCTGCGTGTCTGTCTGTCTGTCTATCTGTCTGTCTGCTATCTGTCTGTCTATCTGTCTGTCTGCAGTCTGTCTGCCTGTCTCTCTGTCTGTGGTTGTGGGCGAAACGACCTGTCGCTAGACCAAGATGCTCTCAAGAAGAAACGATGAAAGAAATGTTTTGCTGAGGTGTGCTAGTGCTGTGCTAAAGTTACATTGTTTTTGTTTTTGTATTGCCTTAATCCTAATGAGAACAAATGCAGAAACAGACCCATTTGACTGGACGCCTGTCCCTGGCTACTTCACAGTCGCACTTTGTATTTCAAACTCGACAACCACCACAACAGTGCAGCCGTTCATGCTAAAATGCTTTTTTTGCCAACAGTTTTTGGCCCGTCCCGTTTATTTTTTGTAAAAAAATGACGGAGGGACGGGCATATAGTATGATCCCTGCTGTGCGTCCGTTCGTTCGTCCGTCCGTCCGTCCGTCCGTCCGTCCGTCCGAGGACTTCCCGTGGTCCGATCTTGACCAAATTTGGTATGCAGCCTCCTTGGGTGACCCTAATTACCGCCCGGTGGCAGCAAATCCGATCCGAGCCCCGGGGGCGCTGCTGCAGGTGCATCATGGTCTACATGGGGTCGAGGAGGATCTCGGCAACGGATGCAGCTAGGAGGGCATGTAGAGGTATTTTTGGAATCGGGGCGACGAGAGAAAACCAATGGTGCCAGTTTCGAGCGAATCGGAGAACTTCGGACCCGGGTTCAAATCCCAGCGGGGTATTTTTTGAACATTCTTTTTATTCGAGTTTTTGCATTGTTTTTGATGTTTTCGAGGGTGCTGATGACGAGAACGACATTTATTTTAACCCCAGACTCAGGTTTAATTCCCGTCAGGGTCAAACATGGGCGAAATTCGTACGTTTCTTAATGTACGGGACGGGCCAAAGTTGCCGATGTATATCGCTACTTTTCCTGTTATTTTTTTGCTGTGCCTTTCTGACACTTTGCTCTCTGCTTTGCATACTTGTATCGGATTTGTCATACCGCCCAATTGAAGCTGGTTACCTGTCATCCGCTCCACTGGGGCGTGGCGGGGCGTGGTGGGGCGTGGCGGAGCGTGGCGGCACGGTCGGCCGGCCTCTGGACGAGTCGATCAATAAATACTTAATGCCTATCTGTCACGGCGCCGTGTTGGACGCCCCGACCCTGCGCGCAGGCGCCTGTGTGAATGGACATGTGCATGTTGGCTTGTTGCAGTTAAAACACAACAAGTCTATACGTCAAATGCTAGTACGCGACATGGAAGAGCTCTAAGCCTAGCCATTTTCGGGACTGAGAGCTCCCTTTCCCATCCTGTGACACGCCGTCCGAATCTCGTTCTGGATTTATACTTTAGGTTCGATGGATCGCAGGATAACCGGTTTGTGGGGCCCGTGTACGTGTGTGAGGGTGGGTGTGTGCGAAGGCATGGGCACCAGGGGCCTGTTGAGGCTCTGAAGCTCCCCTCGCGGAAATCCAGAGCAGGGAATTAAGAATCGCTTCACGGCCCCAGCCGGTGAGCACGGCCCAGGCCCGGCCGCCGTCCAGCCCCCAACTGCTGGGCAAGCGCTGCCCGAGTCCCCAGTCCGGGGCCAGCGGGCGGCTTGCCCCTCCCAGGGCCCCAGGAGCCCCCTCGGCCCCCCACGGCCCCCACCCGGGGCTCCCCGAAGCCCTCTAGCGGGCCCGCTGCAGCGCGCCGGTGGTGCTCGAGCGGTCCCCATTGGACGCGCCCAACTCCCGAGGCCCCGCCCAGAGGCGGTCGCCCCTCCCACCGCCAGGGAGCCGGGCACAGCCGGGCACCGGCAGGGCGGCAGGGGAGCGGAGCGGACCGCGCGCGGAGCCCCGCCGCACACCCAGGGGGTACGCGCCCCGCTGTGTGTGTGTATGCGTGTGTGTGTATGTGTCTGTCTGTGTGCATGTGTGTGTATGTGTGTGTGCCGCGATCCCGGATGTTGGACTCCGGAGAATCAGCAGCCGTGAACTTGAGACGGACTAAACTGATTCAGCCCCGGATGCACCACGCGCGTCCCCTCGATGCGACGGCCACCGGCACGGCGGTGCAACGGCGGGGCGCGGGCCCCGCTCTTGCAGCAGTGTGACAAGCTTCAATTACAGGCATAATTGGTGCCTGTTGCGCCGGCAGCGGCCGCCAGCCGCGGGGCGCACTGCGGCCGCCAGTCCCTGCAGGGCCTGCACAGCGTGCTCGCGGAACGGGAAAAACGGGAGCAGTCCGGTGGGGCCGCCCGCGACTAGGGGGGTCCTTACTACCGACGAAACAGGAAGAACAGGGTTGCCTACGGCGGACCGTGACTATGGGGTGCCTATACTACTGACCGAAAAAAAAATCTGGTAGTCTAGACGGCGGTCCACGACTAGGGAGTGTCTTTACTACTGACCGATCAAGAAAACCAGGGGTCGGTCCGCGGTCCGCGGTCCGCGACTACATTGGGTGCCTTTTAGCAAAGGGTGGGCCCACTGAGAAATTTCGCGTAGTACAATGATTGGATGCATCTGCAAGATTTCTGGCGTTTTTGCCACGTGAATGGGATTTGTGTTTAAATTTCGCACAATGAATGCAGGAGGTTGTTCCCCTTCGACTACGACTGACGTGCCACGCACGCGTGCCCCGTGCCGTGTCGGAGTGCCGTAGCCGGAGCTGCAGACAGATGGCTATTGACCCCCTTTCCCTTCCCTGGGGTGCAGCTCGCCCTGCTCGCCCTGCCCGGCCGGTGGACGTCGGGGGCCTCCTCAGAGGCGGCCTCCGGGACCTCGGCGGCGGCAGCACGGCGGCGCCCCGCCGGGGGCTCTGGGCTCGAGGCGAGGCCCGGAGGACAGATTGTCGTCGCCTCGTCACCGAACGAGAAATCGCCGATTTGGGGCCCCCGGGCACGTCAGCCAGCCAGTGGCGCTAGCCGGTGGCGTTTTCCAGGGGCGTAGACACGCTTTTATTCATTTTCCCGCAGGGCGCAACTTTCCCCAAGGTCGCCTGCGCAGGGTCGGGGCCGACCGGGGCCGACGGGGGCCTACTGTACGCCGCTGGCCGTCTTCAGGGGCCTCGGCGGTGCTGTCGTCGCCTCCCTCGCCGCCCGGCTCTGGCTCGCCGCCTCGCTCCTCGGAGACTCATCAGTCGGGCTGCTCGGCGGCCTGTGGGCCTCGGAACACGCGCCGCCTGCCTAACAGGTGTGACCGGCGTTCCACGCATAGACGCGGCCCGCGCCACAAAAGAATCCCTCTCCGAATCCTCGCGCAGCGTTTCCACGTCGCGATGCTCCGCGGCCACCGCCACGCCGCGATGCCACCGCACGGCGCGCGACACGAGCGGCACCGCGGCACGTCCCCCCTCCCCTGGGCCGCCGGGCCCGCCCTCCAGCCGCCGAGAGCCAACTCCCTCCGACCGCCCCCACCCTCCCGCGCCGCCCCGCCGCCCCGCTCCTCGCCGCACCCCCACCCCCCGCGGCCGCTGTGGAGCCATCGCCGTCCCAGAGGCACGGGGGTAGCGCGGCCGCCTGGCCTCTCAGAGACCGTTCGGCCTTCCCCAGCGACAGTGCACCAGTGCGCCGCCCTGGCGGTCCCGCAGCCCCTCGCGCAGCCCCGTAGTCCCGGCCCGGTCGTCCCAGAGCCTCGCCGCCGCCGCGCCGCGCCGCGCAGCCCCCCCAGTCCCCCAAGCAGGCGCTCCCCGGAGACCTGTCCGCAGGGCGGCCAAGGCGTCCAAGGCGGCCAGGGTGCTGCTGCACTTGTTGTGCGCCTCGCGAGTGACTGTGTGATTGTGAGTGCTTCTCGGACCTCGGGCTTCGCCGTCGCCAGGCTCGGCCAGGCTCGGCCAGGCCGCCGCCATCGGCCGCCATGCGGTCGGACGAGTCGTTCGCCACGGCCACCCCGTGGCCCGGCATGGAACTGGAGCCCGTCTGGGGCAGGAAGCTGTACCCGGGTGCCGCGTCGCAGGGACTCATGTTCGGCCTGGACGCGCACCCGCACCCGCACCCGCACCACCACCGCGCCCTCAAGGAGGAGCCCCTCACCAGCTCGCAGCTCCGCGCCTGGATGCACCAGCCCGCGCCCGTGGACCACGGCAGGTCAGTACCCACGGCTGAGGGGCCAGCGCACGTGTCAGCGGGACTGAAGATCCCGGGTTCGCGAACCCGGTCACCGGATTTCTACTGTGTCCTTTCTACTGTCATTCCACATGTTGCCACTTGTCTCGGATGCCGTGTCAGATGGTGAGGTGTCTCCGTCCGTCGATCGTTTCTCAGAAATCACAGTTCAATGCTGGAAAAATCTTATTTTTGGTTCGGGTATCTTCGATCAGCGTTGTTCAGTTCCTGCCAGAAGTTTGCTTCTTCAGCTCCGGCTGCTCCATCACCACAGACGTTCAGCGGTTCAAATACCGTACCGCAAAAGCAGAAGCCTTTTGTCTGCGCGCGGCGACACACAGCAGCCAATCCAGCCTGGCGCGGGGCGCCTCGTTGGCTGCGTCGCTCCGTCTCTGCCGCACCCTTGGGGCGTCCCGTGGGGTGCGAGAGAGACAGAGCCCCCCGCGGGGCGCGGCATTTAGCTCTCCTCGGCCGGTCGGCGGCGTGCCGGGGCGCCCCGTCGAGACAGCCTCCGCGCCTCATTTCGAACGGGCACACAATCGAGCGGGATAAAACGGCCCGAGGAACAAGGCCTTTCCCCGGACAGCAGCCCCGCGGACAAAGGGTGGCCGCAGATTGGCGGACATGACGTCAGCGACGTGGCCGTCGACCGCGGCGCCGCGATCGGCATGTGGAGGCGGTGGAGCTGGCACCCCTTGGCGGACATGACGTCGGCGACGTGGCCGTCGACCGCGGCACCGCGATCGGCATGTGGACGTAGTGGAGGCACCCCTTGGCGGACATGACGTCGGCGACGTGGCCGTCGACCGCGGCGCCGCGATCGGCATGTGGAGGCACTGGAGGCACCCCTTACGCACGCACGCGACGGTCAGCCCCAGGACGACCAGGGCGCCCAGGACACCCAGGTCCCCGGGGACGGGGGAGGGCGGCGGCCGGCGCGGAGGGCTACTTGATGGCCGCGGGGAGGAGCACCGCGTTCGCGTTCGCCCAGCAGGGCCCTTGGAGGCAGCTTTCCCGTTGCCAAGGATCACCCTGACCTAAAGACAGCGACACGGCGCCGCCGTTTTAGGCAGGGCCAAAGCAAAAGGGCCGCGGAGCCGAGACGCGCTGACTTCTCCAGGATACAGGCAGCCCTCGCGTGTATGTATGTGTGTGTGTGTGCGTGTGTGTGTGTGTGTGTGCGTGTGCGTGCGTCCGTGTGTGTGCACATGTGTGTCAGTCTTGATTCGTACGCGGAGCGAGACACCACGCGATAGCTCATTACTGGTCCCCGCCCCGACGTCACACACACACACACACACACACACACACACACACACACACACACACACACACACGATCTCGGTCACGCACACCCGCGAACACATGGCAGATTGCCGCATCGTCATCATAGCGTTTCGTGATGAGACGTGTTGAAGGGGGTATGTATCCTTTGGGGTATCCGGGTGTGTTTGTCTTTGCGAGCTCGTTCTTGTGGTCAAAGTGAGTGCTGTCTGTCGATCTGTCTGTCTGTCTGTCTGTCTGTCTGTCTGTCTGTCTGTCTGTCTGTCTGTCTGTCTGTCTGTCTGTCTGTCTGTCTGTCTGTCCGTCCGTACGTTCGCGGCCAATCCGGCCGCCGAGGGGTTACGTAAACCTTCCGTGCTTGCCCGCCTCGCAGCATAATCACACCAGCAGTAATCCATAAACTGATACCATCGGGCTGCGCGGCCGTGCGGCTCGCAGTGCGGCGCCGTATGGCGGTGTATACTCTCCGTGTCCTCAAATTGCATTCGATGGGCAACGTGAAAAAAAAGAGTGGCGCTGCGCAGGGCGGGGGAGGGGGAGGGGAGGGTGCGAGAGGACGGGAAAATAAAAATAGGATGACTGGAAATGCATTTACTCGCTCTCAGGCCGCGAGTCCTCCTTGTCGCGCGTTTCGCGAGTCGCGTACGCGCCTGTGTGCGTGCGTGTGTGTGTGTGTGTGTGTGTGAGTGTGTGTGTGCGAGTGAGTGTAGTGTGCGCGTCTGTGTCTTGTGTGTAGGTGTGGTAGTGCTTTTGGCGGCGGTGCATTTCTACAAGGCATCGCTTTCAAGAATAGGGTGCGGAGGACGAGGCAGGACGACGGCATTGTGGGGCTCGAATTGGAAGTTAGGCCGTGTGTCGAAGAGGGCGGTGGCGGCGGGTCGTGGCGGGCCTACGCTGTGGGGCTGGGGCGGCCGGGGCTGCTGGGGCTGCTCACGCATCTGTTTGCGGGAGCTCGTCGTTCGCGTTTTCACTGCCGGGTTCAAGCACTGCGTCGCTGTCACACCCCTCTCTCTCTCTCTCTCTCTCTCTCTCTCTCTCTCTCTCTCTCTCTCTCGTCGGCCTCCGTGAAAAGGTCACGTCCAACTTGATTTCTCTGGGCCGACTCAATAACACGATCACACTCGCAGCCTAATCCACCCCCAGCCCCCTGCCTTATCCATCACTTCCTCCTCCTCCCCTCCCCCGGCCCGGCCCTGGTGCGCCCTAGTTTATTTCCCAGTGCTGACGGCTCTACAAATTCCATCCCTCGGCCCCGCTCTCTCTTTCTCTCTCTCTGTCCCGCACCTTGGGTTGCTCCTTCATCCCTTTGCTATCCACCATATCCACGCGCGCGTGACCCTCATGGTCGCTTGCCTCGCACCCCCCCCCGCCCCGCCCCGCCCCGCCCCGGCCCCGCCCCGCCCCGCCCCGCCCCGCCCCGTCAGAGTGGATGTCGTGGCCGGACGGGCATCATGTAGCCCGATCGTAAAGCCCGGTCAGGGTTCCTGGCTGCAGTGATGGCGCTCCGGTTATCCAGGACGCCCTCCAGGCCTCCAGAATAACCTCCAGGCACTCTTCAGGCACTCTCCAGACACTTCTCTTGTCAGCAAGAGCTCTTTAAAGACTCTACAGGAACTCTTTAAACGCTTCCAGTGCAAGCCCTCCACGCTCTCTCAAGCTGCTCTCCGTCCAGTGCCCCCCTAGCAGTTCCTCTAACTGTAGCTACAGGCACCCTTCCAGGCGGCCTTCCAGGTACTCTTCCAGGCGGCCTTCCAGACGCCCTTCCAGGCGCCTTCCAGGCGCCTTTCCGGGCACCCTCCAGGCACCCTTCCAGGCACCCTTCCACGCACCCTTGCAGGCGCCCTTCCAGACGCCCTTCCAGGCGTGGCCATCCGTCGGCCAGGTGCACACCCCTGTCGCTGAGGTGCTGGAGGACTCCAGGCGGTCATTAGCAGCCCTGGGAGGCCCTTCGGAACCCCTCGGCCGGGCTCGGCTTGCCTTCGGCCCCTCGGCCCCCGGAAGGGAAGGGCAGGGCCTCGGCAGGGCCGATCCGAAAGGGGGAAGGACGAGATCTAGAGGCCACTGCTTGGCTTGGCTGCTTGCTCTGCACGCTTATCCGCCCTCAATCTCCTGCCGCCACGGCCCGGCCGTCCGGACACGAAGAATAAAACAAAGTACCAAGATTGCCACCCTGCGGGAGGAGGTGGGGGAAGCGAAAAAAGAGTCAAAAAGACGAGAAAAATCCACGGCGTGGCGAAGGGAAAAAAACGGGGGGGAAGGAAGGAAGAACAAGCTGCTGTCGGAGAGCACGCCGTGAAAACTTGTTTTCTTTCCGGAAAAAAGGGAAAAAAGGAAGGGAAACGAGCAGTGGAAAATTCCCGTCGCTCTTTCAGATTATTTCTGCGGGCCTCTCTCCCCGCCTCGCGGCAGTTAGAGGGGAGGGAGACGGGCCAAAATAATAACAATAATACTGCCCGCGTAAAGATATTAAAGTAATGCGGTATTGAGAGATTTAGAGGCGCAGGCAGATTGCCTGCTGTTGGGGCCTCCAGAAATAAAGTGTTTCAGGCGACACCCTTTTTTTTCCGCTTCTCTTTTTGGCACGTGACTATGGCGCCAGTTTCCCTTTGCGGTAAGACGGTGCGAGCGTGCCCGCCGCCCCCGCTAAAGTGATTCACGTGCGCGCGGAGTTGCCGAGAGAGTTTCCGCCGCCTTGCAACAACTAGTTCCGCATCGTTACGTGCACCGCCTTCGCTACCGCACCGCTTACGACGGCCTGACGACCCCCGCCCGCTCCGCCAGGCCACCCAGGCCGTGATATCATCAAGACGAGCCCTGATTACCGCACTTGTTTTCCCGCGCGTTTCAATCCGGGAGGACGACTGGCGTCTGTCTCTCTCGCACCTGAGCGGCGCGCCCCGTGAGTGCGAGAGAGACAGATCACGGAGAGATAAACCGGAAACGAGGCGACGGCGCGGTCCTTTAGCGCGCCGTTTACCTCGCCGCGACACCGCCGCCCGTTTCCGGTTTATCTGCGATGCGGCGATACGACGCCGTTTACCGGCCGTATCGGCCTGGCGGGGTTCGCCGCGTTACGACGCGCCGATTGGCTGGACGGCCGAAGCGCGGCCAGCGCGGCGCCTTTCGCAGCCAATGGCGTGGCGTGGCGTGGCGGGGTGTCGTCGTTCGACGAGCCGAGCGAGCAAGCCCGGCCCGCACAGTGGACCAGAAGACCGGTGGAGGCGGCCAAAACTCTAGACGCGTTTTGAGCTGCAGCGTCGCTAAATGGGACTCGAATCGAACGTGTGACCCCACCAATGGATTGCTCTCCGAACGAGGAATCCATTGGTGGGATCACACGTTCGTTTCGAGGCCTGTTTAGTGACTCTGGAGCTCAAAACGCGTCTCGAGTTTTGGCCGCCTCCACCGGTCTTCTGGCCCACTGTGGGGCGACGCGCGGCGCCGAGCCAAACCGGTCCGGCCTGGTCCAGCCAAGCACCTGATAAAGGCGCGTGACCGTTTCGAGGGCAGTTTGGCCGGCCGTTGCCTCGGCGCGGTCACCGCACCGCCCCGCCGGCCCAGACGGCACGGCGCTGGGGCTGGGGCAGCGTCCCGCAAGGTGGCCGACCGCCTCCCCCCCCCCCCAACTCGGATTGCGCCGTTTTAAAAGGTGGCCGCGCTCATCCCTGATTTAATTTGGCCACCGGAAGTGTGGCTGGGCCGGGCCAGGCTGGCCAACATTTCCGGCGGCGAGCCCTGCTGCTGCTGGGTAC